CAAAAGGCTTTTCAAAGTCTTTGTGCTCTCTGTGTGTTGCGGCTTGCCGCTTACGTGTGTTTCGCCTCTTGTCGGTGTAAAAGTAAGTATCTCACGTATAACCAATCCTGTAGCTTTGCTAAGTTTTGCTTTATCAACTGAGGAGATGACCTATCATTTAAAACCCCCAATTTCTGATTATTTTAAACTGCTGTACCTGCATAGGAGATAAAAGCCACAGGTTGGTAAATCAGAGAAATATGCATACGTTTTAGTGCAGCTGTTTATTTGAACATGGTGAGGTAAGCATTCCTGAGTATGAGTCGCATTTGCCATCTTAAGTGGAATGCAGCGTAGCTGTTAGGCAGTTGTTGTTGAGTCTTAGCTCTATGTTTGTAACTGCAGCTGTTTGTCTTGATATTGGCCTTTCTGTTTGCTCACTTTCTTGGTGTCCAATTCCTCTGCTGCTTGTATGATGGGAGAAACTAAATCAAAAGGTTTGGAGGGCTGCAATTTAGCTATTAAATTGAATTTCAAATTCACTATTACTTGTTTAGGTATCTAGTTTCCTGTTAACAGGAGATGGTAGGATGGAGCAGGAGAGAAATCAGAGGGTTGGTGTCTGAGTTGTATCAATTCATTTTTCAATTCAGTTTATTTATATAGCCACAAATTCACAACACATGTCATCTCAGGACACTTTACAGTTCATCAGATCATCCAGTCAAATTGATATAAAGTTTTGTAATCTAAGGAAAACCAGTTGATTGCATTGACTCATTGACTCAAATACAATCCCTTACACTGAGCATGCTTGTAGCGACAGTGGAGAGGAAAAACTTCCTTTTAACAGGAAGAAACCTCCAGCAGAACCAGGCTCGGTGTGAGCGGCCATCTTCTGAGGCCGACTGGGGTTCAAGGAGACAGAAGCAGAGATAGAAAAAGCAGCTGCAAAAGGCGGCCCCGTCCAGGAAACACACAGCCAGGCAGACGAGCTCCGAGCCAGCTCCCATGCCAGAGAATGAAGAGAGCACATCCACCCAGTCACGGTCAGAGAAACAGGACCACACTGGAAAACAGGCCGATCTCCAGCATCTATAAATTGTTGTTGATGGAAGCAGCACAGCTGATGTTTCTCTCCAGGATGGAGTCACAGCCAAACAGGAACAGACGAGTCAAAGCTACCATGAGAAAAGCAGAGAGAGCAGAACGTTAGAGATCAATGCAAGCTTTACTCCAGTGGGTTGAGGTTAAAGAGCTGGGCCATAAAGTAAAGCTCTTGATTTACCACTTCATCAGCATTTAGTTCAGCTGCTTTGGTCATGGGATACATATAATTTTCAGAAGAGCCAGATCCTGGATCCAGGCAGCTGAAAGGTAAATATTGTGCATGGTGTATGGACTCAACCTCAGAGATGAAGTAAGGAGCTCCATCTTCAGAACAGCAGTTCAAAGTAGAGCCACTACTCCCCCCTCAGCTAAAGAATGAACTGAAGGTGGTTTATTTATCAAGTGACCCAGGAAGTAACTTGATTAGATACCCAGGAAGTCACTTGAACCCCCTTTTGACTTCCTTTTGGACCCCATTTTTTGGAAGGTGACCCACAGCAGACCTACCTCCCAATTAGTGTTGGCAGCTACAGTAACTGCTTATACTGTGCCTGGTTGTGCAGAAAGGATTTTCTCCATTACAAAGGGAGTGGTTTCTCTCTACTGTCACCAAATGCTTCCTCAAGAATAATTGCTGTGACTTGATGTAAGAAGGTCTTTGTTTGGAAACGCATTGAAACATCCCAGAATGAACGGGACATTGGGATATTTCTTGCCAGCTACAAAGTATCAGCCAGATATTATCCAAGGTCATGCAACAGGTACAAGAGGGAAAACTAGTCAGTATGTTCAACTCTATATTCCTCTTCTATAGAGATATACGATGACAATCTTTGGCCAGAAGGAAATTATAATCTATCCAAAAAGTTCTTGTAATACCCCAGGGTCTCACTCCAGTGGATGTTCATGACCATCAGACCAGGATTGTAGGAATACTCACGTTTTTTGAGGATTCCTACAATCCTTAGAGAAAACTCTGTGTCCACCTGGAGCTAAGCCTGGGGATTTGACTCCGGGCAACTTCCCAAAATGGCCGGATGCTCCTTCCACTGGAGGAACCCACTTTCAAAATAGGTTGGGCTTGTGTGCCATGTGAGCTGGGTGGCATGGCAAGATTTCACATATAGCTGGTAGTGAACTAATGGGACTTTCTTTGCCAGGTGCGTCTATACCACCTCTCTGTGAAATTATTTCTCTGGCCGTTTTCTCTCCTGGCTACTTGCTTGGATAGCAGTCCCTCTTCATTTGATTTCCAGTTTTCCTATTTAATTTGTTACAAATTAGTTTTAATAACTTGTTCGTACATTTAACATTCGGATTTCTTTTAAGGCTTTATGCAGAAATTAGTTATGATTCTTCTGCTTGGCAGCTCAAACCTTTGCAACCATTGCAGCGGAAAGTTCTATAACCTCTGTCTTTGTCTCATCATTGCCCGTCAGATTTGAGGTGCGCAAGAAAGCTGTAAATCAATTTGGATTTGACACCTGACATCAATCAGTCATGTTTTGGGAGAGCAGCACTCCCTTCGCCTTGGAGATTACGAGAGCTGCGGTGATGGATGGTTGTCATCTCCCCCAAGTTGAGCGGATCTCTTATCAAGGGCATTGTTTCTCCAAGAACTTGCTTGGCTAATCGCTCTGTGCCAACTGATTGAACAGTGTGATTGCTGAAATCTTTGTCTTTTCTTTCACCTGAATGTTGAATCATATGCTTTTCTTTCTGAGCTACAATTGCAGTCTCACCACCCGTCTAGGTTTTGAGTCAGGCTGTGTGAAACTGTGACCTGGGTGGAATATTAAACTAAAACAGCCCCAACCTGAAGAACAATCCTTCCGCTGGTGGGTGTGTGAATGCTGTCGCTCTCAAGATTAATTATTTGAAGTATTTAGGAGGCTTAAACTCTGTTGCAGTTGTTTGCAAATTCTTGTCACCTTAATTGCTTTAGAGCGCTGTTTCAAATATCTCTTAAGAATGATATGCGTTTTACTGGGCGACGGGGTCCTTGAAGGTTTCGTAACCAGGCGGTTGAAGTAATAGTCTCTCTGGTTGGTTATTTAGTTACCTGGCCTCTAAGGCCTTTACCACATAATCAAATATTGACCCTTCGTCTTGTGTGACCCCGTGAACCTAAACCCTGTCGGCCTAATGACTGTCCGTTTGGAAACAGACAGATTTATTGCCAATCAAGGCTTGAACCCTCTTATAAAACCGTTAGCTGTCCCACAACTTTGCATGTGAGAAATGCAGTATTTGATATGCTGCAACTTTGCTTGATTTTTACTTTGACAGCTCCCAGTCAACCTCCACTGACCTGTAGTTGTCAATTTATCTGCTAATGAAGTTGTCCTAAAAAGAAATTAAAGCTGAAAATGTTGTTTTTTTTCCAGCAAAATCTTAGAAAAAAACTCAATTATATTCATTAACTAGGGTAAGGCATAAGGCACTGCTCATTTCGGTCCAATTTGATGCTAAAAGGTTTTGCTGTTTTGATCTTTGCATATGACATTTTGCATAATAAACTGAGCAATTTGCTTTTGCATTTCAGATCCACCTTGTTTGCTTTTCAGCGTGAGTTCATAGTCTATAACAAGGGTGGGCAATTCCAGTTTGCAACTTTTAGATCCAACTTAGTCTAACACACCCGATTCAAATGGCTGAATTACCTCCTCAGTATGCAGTCAGTTCCTCTAGATTTCTCTCAATCATCTAATTACTTGATTCAGGTGTGTTGAACCAAAGGCACTTATAAAAGTTGCAGGATACCGGCCCTCAGGAACTGGAATTGCCCTCCCCAGGTCTATAGCTGCACAACATATCCTCATTATCAGTTCATATGAAATCGTGCGAAAAGTTATGCACAGAAATTCGTACGTTTTGGACGTTTTTCCTGGAAAATACAGATCAGTGCACATGCGTAGCCAGACAGACGAAAAAAGCAGATCCGCGGACGGACGTAAAACTGGGAAAAACAGTGCAATAATTACTTCTTCAGGTCTCTCACTAGGTTGCTTGCTGTTTTGTATCTTAGGGTTAGGGTCAGGGTTAGGGTTAATTGTATGTTAAATTCTATGTTATTAAATGGTGTGTAACATGCGCATGCGCAAGGATATCTTGTCTCGAGGCAAGATGTAAAAATACGGCGAAATGCGACGAAAAAAACGTCTAAAATGTACGAAATTACGGTGCATAACTTTTCGTACGATTTCATACGAACTAATAATGAGAATACACTGAGCTGCAAAAGGAGGTCATGTAATTAATACCAGCAAAAGGTTCCTTAAAATCATTTTGGTTTGATCAGAGGTGTAATCTGTCATATTTTATAGGACCTGATTTGGGTTATCATCACAACTAATAAAATTAGTTTTATTCCTATAATATTTAATTAAAAAATTTAAGATTTTCGATTTTACAGATTTTGTTTTTTTAATTATCAATCAAACCACCAAGACAAAGAAACTAATACGCATTTTTTTTTCTATATTGAGTCTGTAAGCTTTTCAGAAGCTCCTCTAACTGCTGTCAATTACTTTATTATTTACTAGATTTTAATTTCTTGAGATCTGAGCATGAAGCGTTGCTTCCTATTGCAGGCAGACTCTGTTGGAGTTTGCTAATTTGATTAAACACTTTCGTTGAATTAATTAAATCATTTGAAAACTTCTGTCTGAGTTTCATCATGCTACTTTGGTGTTAAACCTTAAGTTCATCTAAAAAGAAATCTAATAAAGAAGAAATATGTATTTTTGGCAAATGAAAATGTACCAAAGGACCCCGGGTTTGGGGGGACTAAACAGAAGGTTTGAATATAATACAAGGATGAAGAAATTGATTGGTATTTGTAAAAACGGTAACCTACTCTGATTAACTTTGTACGGTTGGTGTAAGTATTTCTTTTTTCTCATCCACAGAAAGATGCACAGTGGAATGAAGACCTACAGCTGTGAGCTTTGTGGGAAGAGCTTTCTGGACAGCCTTCGTCTACGGATGCATTTGCTCTCTCATTCAGGTAACAATAAAATAAGTGCTTTTGTCAATCTTGCATTGTAACCAACACCATATTGCCTCTGGGCATACCAGGGATCTACTGTAGGAAGCCGTTATGAAGCAGTTATTACATAAACAAATCATTTTACAGGATTTTTGATGCTTTAGAGTAAAGTTTTTTTGGAGATAAAATTAAAATGTTATTGTGAAAAGGGGTTGAAAATACTTTAATTGAACAGGAGCTATAAATTGCAAAAAAATGGCTTTCTTTAATCTTTTTGAAAATAAAAAAATGTCCTTTTAAAAGTATTATAAGTGTGAAAAAAGGGATCTACGGATTATTTTAAATCTGAAAGCAGAAGGCACTTCAGCCTAATTATGAGAAATAAAATTTCAACTTTTGTGGAGATAGATAGCTTTTTTTTTTTTTATGAAAGTATAAATAAAATGGTTTGTGTCCCTGTATGGAAACAGGAATCGAATATGGATCATTCTTTGGATAAGACACCTCCTGATTTAGCCAAGTTTTACAACTAAATGTGCCAAAGTGTCTTGAAAAAAAAATCCTGTATGTCAGCAGCTCTAATTATATGAAGATAAAAATATAAAATCACTGCGAATTAATTAAAAAATGTTTTGCGTTATGCCGAACATTACTTTTTACTTTTTTTATGTATTAACTCTTTTGAGAAATGTGTGTTTGATCCATCTTTGTGCTGTTAGCTCCGTTTTGCCTTCCTAACAAACTCTTCCCGGGTCCATACTTTAACCATATCCACTTTTATGATTTATTCTATCAAAATGTTCCTGTTGAGATGTTAAAATCTTCTATCCATCTATCTAGAGTTTAGCTTTTATAAGAATCTGATTTCAGATCCTAGACAGAAATAAATTTAATTTAAGAATTAAATAAATCAAAGAACTCATCCAGATGCAGCAGGACTTAATTTGGCACCTGAACCTTTTCTGATCAAAGTTGATTTAAGAACCACAACGCAAGTTTATACGACTTACTCTAAGAGATCTGATGGCTAAAACATCAGGGGATGTTTTGATGAAAATTGCTAAAGTGTTAAACTCATGTTCCAATGTGGCAAAGAAAAATAATGGATAAAATTGAATTGAATCAATAAATACATAATTTCTAGATAGTAGATTCTGTTAACCTCAGAAATGCTGCATTTGTGTGCTTGGTGTCTGACATTTTAGATTTAGATTAGATGACCAAGAATAAAAACCTAAGTATAACATCACAGCAGCCTTTCATGTTTCACAGAAATCATCAGAACCTCCATTTTTTTCAGCGCCTCTGGGTATGAAAAAATACAGAAATAAGTGTGTATTTTATCGCAGTAGTGCTGTATAATATATCAAAGTGAATATTATAGTAAAGTCCTACCCTTAGAAATAAGCATGTTCTTTTAGATTGCTAGTGCTAAAATAGCCCCCACCAACCCTTTCGAAGAGAAATGTGGATAAAAGGATAAATATAACAATATTTTATATTTATGCTTTAAGTCTAATACCTAATCCTTACATTCCTGTATCCCTCTGTATAGAAACAGTGTGATATAGAAGTCTATTTCCTAATGTTTCTTTTCAAAATTAGAAAATTAGAAGCAAAATATATCCTGTTGAGGCATTCGATCAACCTAGTCTACGATATGGGTAAATCGCAAAAGTTTTTTTGCAGAACTCTTATAAGAGAAATATTTATAAAGTTAAAAACAGCTGAAGGTGTAAGAAACCAGGCTGGACGAGAGCCTGTGTTCATCATCCCACACATAGTGAAGGCAGATGATGATGAAAGCATCATCATCACTGTGTAAAAACTACAATGGAATAAAATAACTTTAAAACTATAAAACAATAAATAAATATCTGGCATTCAGCTGTACATTCGCTTATAGTGAACAAAGAGCAATCACACAAACTCTTTAGCAGACGGAAGCTGTGTTCCATTTCTTTTTAATCTTCTTGTGGATAGGGAGCTAAAAAAAAAGTGAAATATTGCTGAAAGGAATCTTAAAGGAGTCATTATGTTTCCATAACAACCAATAATGGGTATCAGTGTATTGTTGTCCTACCGTCCCAAACATAAATATGTGGATTTTTTTTTAAAATAGAGTATTTTTACCAAAGACCTTAGAAGGTTTGATCCATTACTTCATGTCTTTCTACATTTGCCCATTTTCTGTCCTCAGGACTCTGAATAAAACAGATGTATGGAAAAGTATCCCACTCCCAGTGTTGAGCTGATTTCTCTTCTATAGAGACACACATATTTGTTGAAATTTCTTGCCCTTACACTTTCCAGCTCATAGGTGCAGTAGAGACATTCCCCAAACAGAAACTGAAAACATACTGGGAGCTGAACAGTTGAAAGAGAAGCGCTGACTAATTATCTCCTTGTTAAGCAGCTCTGAGGTACCTTAACTCAAGAGAGGCTTGCATAGTTTTATTCAGTCTCCCCGAGGCTTTAAATGTTATACAGTTAGTGCCAACTTACAACAGTGAACCCATGAAGGGGTCTAGTCTGACACAAATAAACTCAAACCAAACACATCTAATTCTGATCTCCTCCTTTAAAATGAAAAATTCCCACATTCTGAACAATTTAAAAGTCTTCTGCAGCAGATCGGTTACTACATTTACAGTGGAAATAAGTGTGTTATGTTGATCAGTTTAGATGATTCATTTAAAGTTCCCTATTTCTATTGTATATTTTCCATCCAAATCGCTGCCTTAACACCCTATTTTCTCTTGCAAGCTCCATACAGTAGTAGCCATTTAAAATTTCCCCACTTTCCTTAAAGGAATAGTACACCCAAAACATGATTAGCCTTCATTTTCTACTCACCCCCATGCTGAACAACACTCTGGAGTACTTTTTTGATATCTCAAATGCATCTGGAGATCTGGGAGGCTTCTTGCTGTCTGCTGACATTCAAATAATGGAGGTCTATGGTGCCCGAGGCAGAAAGGTCCATAAAAGTCCACAAAAAACGTGTCAATATTCCTCCATACTGCTCGTCCAATGTATTCCAAGTGTCCTGAGTGGGTAGCATCCATAATTTACTCGAAACGAAGTCATTTAGAATGTTTTTAGAGCATAAACAGTAGTGTATAGAATTTCCTGAAAGCGCGTTCACGACTCTACGGAAACCGCGGCAGACAAAACCAGATGAAAGTGCGCATTCAGCCCAGCAAAGAACTCATGCTCTTCCTCAACACTGAAGTCCTCAGACACTTTTCTTTCGTTGTTTCTTTCTTTGCACAGGTAAACAGCACATTTCTTCTTCTACGCTTGCATTATCGGCAGAGCAGACGCTGAATGCGCACTTTCATCTGGTTTGGTGCCACGGTTTCCGTAGACTCGTGAACTCGCAGGCGCGCGCTTTCAGGAAATTCTATACACTACTGTTTATGCTCTAAAAACATTCTAAATGACTTTGTTTCGAGTAAATTATGGACGCTACCCACTCAGGACACTTGGAATACATTGGACGAGCAGTATGGAGGAATATTGACACGTTTTTTTGTGGACTTTTTTGGACCTTTCTGCCTCGGGCGCCATAGACCTCCATTATTTGAATGTCAGCAGACAGCAAGAAGCCTCCCAGATCTCCAGATGCATTTGAGATATCAAAAAAGTACTCCAGAGTGTTGTTCAGCATGGGGGTGAGTAGAAAATGAAGGCTAATCATGTTTTGGGTGTACTATTCCTTTAATGGGTCCTTGGCTGATCCCCTCTTAAACATCAATCTTTGTACTAAAATATTCTTTCTGTGATGATTTGTGTAGAGAAAGGGTGATGTCGGTGTAAAATAATATGCACGCCCCCCGGGGCGAAGGAGGGGGTCACTCAAGTGGCTGGTATTTGGAGGGGATTTTGCTGGGAGTTGCTGGGAAGTGGGCTGCCATTCGGCTGGCGTCTGACTGGGAAGAGCCATTTTCAATAGCTGCTTCTGTGTTTGGCTTTCCCTGCCATCCCAAAGATTAAGACGGTTTAACTGTCACTGTTTTGGATAAAACATCCCAAAAACCACCTGATTCACAATCCAGAATTATGGGGAGAATAATTACAGGAATAATTTGTTAGTTCATGTATCACCAGCAGTTTAACTGTTGCTGACACTGATGCTGACAGCCTTGCTATGTTTTTGACAAAGATGAATGACAAACTCATGCTGTGCCAGTGAATTGGCTCAGCACACAGCTCAGTGTGTCACAAGCAGAAGTTGCTTCGAGCAAATATTCACTGTTTATTTTTAAATTACACCCCGTTTTCACAATCCTCACTGCACAAACATGTGACAATCCCTCTCACCCACCCACTCACCAAACCCCCAACCTCCCTTCTTCTCAATCACTTGTCAGATTACAAACGACGAAGATCTGCAACAGAAAGCAAATGGTTTACAAATTACTGCGTGTCTCCAGATACTGTATATGTTACCTTTAATGTGTTTAACTTGGAGGCATCTGTTCTAAAGCTGTTATTAACTTACGCCTTTTCTTTAAATTGTATATTTAGATTTTTTTTTTTTATTTGCACAGAACTCTTTAAAAACACAAAAAATTACCAATCAACTTGCAGGCCATACTTATATTTTTTTAAAGCTCTGATCTGCCAATTAATTTGTTATTTATATCAGGACCAGAGCAATGTCACACTGTGTGTGTAGCAGAGATTGGGTGTTATGCTACGGAAGAGGATTAGGGCCACTGGAAAAAAAAAAAAAGAGTTAACTTATTTTTAAATTTTATTTCAGTTTAGTATGGGAATAAAGTCAAAATTCTGACTCTCTGAGATTAAAGTAAGAATTCTGAGAAAAAAGTCAGAATTCTGAGAAAAAAGTCAGAATTCTGAGATTAAAGTCAGAATTCTGAGAAAAAAAGTCAAGTATTATGCAGCTTTATACTTAAACAGTATTTTTAATTCATTTTATAAATATTGATCAGCAATTTTAGAAATAGCCCTTCTATATGTGGCGAGATGTATATCGTACATATTTATCG